CAGTTGGTTCTAATTGAGAAACAGTGGGTTCCTGCTGATGAACAATTGGTTCTGAGTGAGAATTAATTGGTTCTCGATGAGAAGCAGTTGGTTCTTCCTAATGAACAGTTGGTTCTAATTGAGAAACAGTGGGTTCCTGCTGATGAACAATTGGTTCTGAGTGAGAATTAATTGGTTCTCGATGAGAAGCAGTTGGTTCTTCCTAATGAACAGTTGGTTCTAATTGAGAAACAGTGGGTTCCTGCTGATGAACAATTGGTTCTGAGTGAGAATCAATTGGTTATTGATGAGAAACAGTTGGTTCTTCCTAATGAACAGTTGGTTTTAAGTGAGAAACAGTGGGTTGTTGGTGAGGAACAGCTGGTTCCCAGTGAGGACTGGGAAACAATTGGTTCTGAGTGAGAAGCAGTTGTTTCTCTATGAGGAACATATTGGTTTCTTGCCGATGAACAGTTGTTTTAAGTGGGGAACAGATGGTCCTTTAAGAGGAAAAGTTGGGCTGGTTTTGGATCTAAATGACAGATTGTTTTAAATGAAGAAGAGTTATTGCTTGATAATAAAAAAAACGTTCTAGATGAAGAACATTCCATCTGAGGAACTGGTGTTTCTCTGTGAGGAACGGTTGGCTCCAAGTGAGGAAAAGTTGCTCTAAATGAAGACCAATTGGTTCTCACCTAAGAAGAGTTGGCTTAAAATGAGGAAAAGTTGTTTCTAATCATAGATCCAGTTGGGTTCTTTGCTGTGCAGACAGAGGAGCTCTGCTTACTCTTGCAGATATTCTATACGTTGAATAAACTTTCTAAATGAACATCTGAATGGGTTTGATTAGAATGAGACATTAGAACACTCAGATTGACAGGCTGTCCTTAAATCGTCTTTGTTCAGGTGTGTTCCTGTTCCATCCTGAAGGGGGCGTGGCTCTGGAGCTGTTGCCTTCTTCCTCCGAAGTTCTGCTACATTCAGAGTCTAACTTCACCGTGGTGAGTTCACTGACCGTCTGTCCTCTGACCTGTCTGACTGTTTCTCTATCACCCCCTCTTTGTGTCTCCTTAGGTGTGTTCAGGGTGGAGTTCAGTGAAGTGGCGCTTACCTCAGGCCTCTGATGGGGGTCATGGGGTTCTAGTGGAGGATGCAGGCACCAGCAGCACCCTGAGGTTCATTAACGCCACCTGGAGGAACTCTGGCAGATATACGTGTGAGGAACCGTCAGCTGATCAGAGCAGAGCTGTGGACGTCTTCATATCTGGTCAAGGTAGGATCACATCTGTAGGTGAATCAGAGAACTGCAGTTAGCACCCAGGTGAAAAGGTCCGTCAAGTTCTTCAGAGATCAGAGGGTCCTTCAGAGGAGAAGCAAGAGGCCTCCACATCATGAAAAGGATGCTGGGTTTAACATTTTGATGCTTTGATACAGGGGCGATTCTAGGTGCTGAGCACCCACAGAGCTGTCTGGCCAGTCAGGATTAATTTCGCTGTTTTCTATTCATATTTCTGAGACTTGTTCAGTGCATTTTGCTAATGACCGACTCCACCATTCTCTAATGCATTGTATCTAAGATGTGTGCCAAAAACCTAACAAGCAAATCCAAAAGGTTTTAGAAGAATATTCTAACCAATGAAACCTTTTAAATCAACTCATTTCATTGAAACCTTTGAATCAGTTTTCATGAAATGTTAGTGTGCCAAAATTACTTCCATGGTATATGTAGAGTAATCTGCTGAATGAAATATTTTTCCTTTGCCAGTTTAACAACTGCTGTTTGGTCTGCTGCTATTCTATCTTCTTTCTTGCCTGTTTTTTCCTGACCTTTCACTTTGGACACACCTTGCTCCTCTGTACCTCTTAAGACTGCCAATCATAGAATGGATTTTAAATTCAAAATAACTACTGGAATTAAGCACAAAAGCTGCAGTGCTTAATTCAACCAGCAGAGGTAGTAACTGTGGAAGGTGTTCAATGTTTTTTGCACCTGACTCTGGCCACAAAATACATTTGAAGATGTTTATTATTGGGCAAGCATTTCACCTTTCTACTGGGAATGGTGTTATGTAGTTTTATGTTTATTGACTCAGTCACACAATCAGTCACTTCACTGATGTCCTCTTCATTTGGCTGACATAGTGCATCCCAGTCTGTAGCCTAAAACAATCTTGCAGGGGTTCTTTAACTTCCTGTGACCATCTTCTTAAAGTTCTTTGTAATGCAGGTTGTGTTTTATAAAGTGGCTTATACTCTGAGCAGAGAAAATCAAGATTGTGATCTAATTTCCCAAGAGGAGGTCTTACTTTACAGATGTAGGAGTAGAAAACCTTGGACTTGTTTTATGCAAGCTTCTCTGGTCCAACAGCTGACAAACAGTTCAATTCAATTCACTAATTTATATAGTGGCAATTCACAACACATATAATCTCAAGGCACTTTACAGTTCACCAGATCATAACAATCAATTTCATTCAAAGTATTCTATCTAAATAAAACCAGTTAATTTCATCGACTCATTGACTCAAAGGCATCCCTCACACTAAGCATGCTTGTAGCGACAGTGGAGAGGAAAAACTCAATTTTACCAGGTAGAAACCTTCAGAAGAACCTGGCTCAGTGTGAGAGGCCATCTTCTGAGGCCGACGAAACATTGGCCGTGTAGCAGAGAGTAAGGCCTGATTAAAATCACAAGTTCTTGCCACAAATGCATTTGTGGCAAGAACATCTGAACACATTGTTTTCAGTTATTCTTTTAGAAGAGTTCTTCTAAAATCTGCAAAATGAAATGCCAAAGATCAGGGGTCTCATGCATAAGATTGCACAGCTCTTATAACAAAAGTTTGCAGTTGTTACAGACCAAACAGGTTGATCTTTGGGTGGAAATGTTGAGTTGTAAAGAATCCGATGTTCTTACTTTCCCTACTCAGGCCCAGAACAATGGTTTGTTCCCCAGAGTTCCCCCCATGTTTACAAGTACGCCGATGAGGGTACTGTCCCCTGCGTGGTGTCCAACCCAAAGCTCAACGTCTCTCTGTACGAACGACCTGACAAAACCAAAGTCGACGGGGTGAAATACGAGCCGGCTCTAGGCTTCACGGGTCCTTTGAATGATGCAGGACATGTGTGTGTGGCCAGGAACGGAGACGAGGAGAAAGAGTCCCAGGTGTTCTATGTCTTCACTGTTTTTGGTAAGGTCAACCTCAATCACCTGCAGTGTTTGGACGAACACATTATAAAGGAACATGTTACAGTAACTATGTGGTTTTAGCATTAATTAGCTTTGGAACTTATCAGTTTGTAAAAGTTATTAATTAGTCATTACTGTGGTTTAAACAGTTTCGTTACAACATGCATAAATAGAGACTACAATTTCCTGGTGGAAGCACACGTGAAAGCAAAGTGCAACTCTAGCATAAACACAGAGGAGGGACGATGGTGCAGAGCCTCTGATTCAACAGTGTCTGAATGTTTTGGTGATTTACTCATTATGTCTGGGAAAAAGGGCTTTATCAACATCAGTTTGAAGCTGTGATCTAAAGAGGCTCAAAAATCCTCTGAACACTAACTGACAGCTGCTGCTTTTAATCAACACATGTTCTTTACTTTCTCAGGGCGGTAATGATTTTACTTTCACTGTTTACATTTTCTCACCCAAAAATCCTGGGATCTTTCAGGCCTGCTGGGACTGTTTTATTATTAAAAAAAACAACCATGATGACATCTACATAATTACAGTGCAACTCACCTGTCAAATTACACACATCAAAACAATGCAGCTTTGTTTTCAGTGTTTTCAGACTTGTACAATTTTTTATTGATTTTTAATACACAGTTTAAAAAGAAACACCTTATTTTCCATAGTTTAACTTTAGTTATTTTTAATTTGCATAACAGGACAGTTTTCCAGTTTTCCAGTTTTCCAGTTGTCCTGCATAACTAATAATTTTTGAACGGGCAAAAATAACTAGTTAATCTTTTTAAGTAAAGTTCCAAACTTCTCACATGGGAATGATTCAGTATACAGCTGAACCCTCTGATCACTCTTCTGTATGTCTCTGTCTGACTTGTGTGCATGTCAGATTCTAAGAAGATGGAGGTGGAGCTCTCTGTGTCCAGCCAGGTCCTAAAGCAGGGAGAGGATCTGACGGTAAACTGCACAGTCAGAGACGTAGATATGGTGTTCTTCTCCTGGAACTTCCCTCGCAGATCGGTAACCAAGGCAACTTTACTCGTAAAACTACTTCAGAACAGTCCAATTGAGGAGATATCATGTACAACAAATTAAGAAAGTAAGATAATTAAGATGATATGTGACAAATGTCAGTGGAATCAGAGAAGTTTTCAGAGTAGACTCAAGAGTGAGGTCTGTCTAATGTTTAGCAGCAATCTGTTAAAGAAAGACATTCCTTAAGCTTCAACTGTGTCCTCAGAACTACCTGGAGGAGCTGGCCCACTGTGATGCTAAGAAAACTGATATTGTTCAAACCCTCGATAAATCCAGCCCAGATCATTAATTCAGTGTACAGGACCGCGATGGTTGAAACCAGTGGTGATTTCTCATTGAATAGTAGGGAGGTCAAACCATCCATCCATCCATTTTCTGACACCCTTAATCCCAAGTGGGGTCGCAAGGGGTGCTGGTGCCTATCTCCAGCTGTCTACGGACGAGAGGCGGGGTCCACTCTGGACAGGTCGCCAGTCCATCTCAGGGGAGGCTAAACCTCCCCTGTAAATTTCGTAAAATTATTGTTAAAATATGCATTGTCAAACTTCATAAAGTTAGTAATTAAATTCCCTAATTATGCCAGACCTGCAAACCTTTTTCCATGTCTATTTGGAAAGCTTGAGTTTCATCCATTTGCAGCTCTGCAGTCAGGGCACAGCAGGGGTTCTTTGTCAAGGCGGTCCTTCTCTCATCCAGTCTGGCTCTATAAGTTCTGAAACTCAAGAGAAATGTGTTGCAAAAGGTCTGTTTTGCAGCAGTTTGATTCTGACAGCTTCTGACTTATCCTTGATGGTTCTGGAGATCTGGTTCCCTTGGGCCCCGCATCTTCACTGTGGTGGAGAACCAGCCATGCGGACCCCAGCTTCCTGGGCAAGGTAGAGGAGGCAAGGAGAGCAGGAGCCCAAGAGATCAGGAGCAAAAGAGAGAGAATCCTGTGTGCTCTGTGGTTTTGTTCTGTCCTCTCAGAGAGGGAGGTAGGGTTTCACACCTCTGGTGGCTTCCATGTAACTAGCCTGTGACTGCTTTGGCTGAAAAGGAGGGGGCGCTGCAGAAGACCCCCAACTGTTATTAGCCAAAGCTGCGTGCTCTCCTCTGGTCATCCTGTCAAGGTGAAATATGGTTCCCAATGTCCAAAAAGTATGATCATGGCATATGGCACAACACAGGGGTCTACCTCCAACCAATCTTATTTTGAAATATTGGAGAAAACGTGTCCCACCTACACAATATTCCAGATAATGATTCAATGTTATGCCAGGTCTGAATAACAAAGGAAACTGTCAGACCAAATTGGAATTTGCGTTGGAAAGGCATAAGGTATAAGGTATAAGGAAAGCAGAAAATGGAACCAGTGTGGATTCAAAGTAGGAAACCAGCTCACAACAATAACAAACAAGGACATTCAAGGCTGAAAATTTGTGAAGAGCAACTAAAAAACCAGGGGTGTCTAATCAGAAGAACAGAATTCAGAACAGCTGAGGAAAGAGCCATAGAAAGCTGAACCACTGAGGGGTCCTCAAAAAAGAGAAAAGGCCAGACAGACATTAGGATCTACCAAAACACCAACATACATTGGGAAAAAAGGAACCTATAAGAACTTCATGGATGAGGAATTACCTGTATGGAAAGACCTTGACAATAGAATATAACAAAAAATTAGACTATAAAAACAAGTCAAACAGAAACCTTTTCCTGTTTTTATTTTGCCGGAATCATCATGTTCAGTTACAATGGTGATCAACTCACTTGTTTCTCTACAGGAAATAGAGCCTCTCACAGACTTCCTGCCCAATGAAATTCGCTCATTCGTTAACATCTCCATGGCAACAGTGTCAGACTCAGGTAGGTGTGATAGAAGGGTTTGTAAGGCAGTACATGCTTCTGTGACAGGTTGGTATACCAATTGATAATTTGGCTTTAATTGAAAACTGTCTGATCTCCATGGTAACACTGTGTATCTTGCAGGTGTGTATGTTTGTAAGGCTCAGGACTCACAACTGAGATGGACTGTGAGAAAAAACATCTCCATAACTGTTCTTGGTCAGTACACAAAAACACGGATAAACAAACAAAAGAACAGGATGAGGTTGTGACAGCCAGGGTAACAGCAATGGGTTAGGAGAGCAAGGAAAACAGTAACAGGTTAGGAAAGCAAGGAGAACAGGAACAGGTTAGGACAGCAATGAGATTAGTGTAAGATGGACACTGGCATACAATGACAGGTGAATGAGTATAGCTAACTCCTTCCTTTCTGCAGACCGAGGCTATGTACACCTGCGCCCCTCAGGGAACACCAACATCTCCTCTCCTGTCCACTACACCGTTGAACTAAAGGTTCTGGTTGATGGCCATCCTGCCCCAAACCTCACCTGGTCCAGACTTAACCACACTATCAGCCCAGCAACCATTAACTCCACTCACTTGAAGGGCCACAGGTAGGTCAGAGAGGGAGAATCCAATACTGGTATCTTTATTCACCATATACTCGTTTACAAGGAAATGTTGCAAAATAGACAGATCAGAGCCAATTGATAAATAGTAAAATCTCATTAGAATATTAACCAATCACAGCATCAGTTAAAAGCGTTTTTCTGTTTGTTAATTATCATGTACACTCACCGGCCCCTTTATTAGGTACACCTGTCCAACTGCTTGTTAACACTTAATTTCTAAGCAGCCAATCACATGGCGGCAACTCAGTGCATTTAGGCATGTAGACATGGTCAAGACA